CAGATAGTGTCTTGACCAGAGGAGGCCTCATCAGTCCTGTTTCAGTTTCTCCAGAAGAAACTGAAAAGTACATACAGTTAGTTTGACTCCTGAATATAGCCTAGGATGAAAGATAAAAACTTGTTACAGATCAAGATAATTACTTAGTACTAGAAGTGGGGTAGTATCTCTCAGGTGTTCTCAAAGCATATCTTTCTAGCTGGCAGGATCATGCAGAGTTCCCTATAGGCATATCTATTCGATACCTTTGAATAATATTATTATCCCAAAATACAAATTATCCGAAGGAAAACATCTTCACATTTTCCACCTCAAAATTACTTGGTTGTGCCTGCATTACGCATATGCTAAGACTTTCACTCCCTAATCCAAAGAGACTTCCTGTTGTACTTCCTTCAGGAATGGTTCTATAGGTTCACCACCACCACCATCATCACCATTTAACACACAAAATTCCCATTTTTTAGAGGATTCTCATCCCTCATTGTGGTTGGGGATCTCCGAATGCATTCAAATTGATGTCGAGATATTTTTCACAGAAGTAAATTCTAGAAGAATTTGAGAAAAATAAGATCAAGTATTTCCATATTTGTCTAAGTTATGCTGGAACCTCTAGTTAGAGAGGTGAATTCAACCAGGCAATAGTATTTTCCTTTTATTTGGGATTTAAGTAATGTGTATTAGCTTGGATGATATTTTATAACATGTCATTTTATTTGAGCCCTCTGTCCATAGCTGGACATTCACCAATCATTAAATGTAAAACCAGAATTGAGTTCACTAATTCGAATGAAATTCTTTTACAGAAGAGTAAGCAGGGGTCTGGCAGGTGGCATGGTGGTTGAGGATGCTGGACTCCCCACACAGCTGACCACAGTTCGAGTCTTGGTCCTGGCAGCTTCCTTTCTCACTTTCCTTCTCTGTCTTTCTCTGGAAAAATTTTAAATAAATAAATAAAGTTAAATAAATTTTTTTAAAAGAAAAAGAAGAGTAAGCAGGCCATTGCTACCTAGAAATTAGGCTACGGTCTTTATAATTTTGGGGTTTTTTTGCATCTTATTAGACAATGTAAAACAAAAATATGTATCTTATTTGACAATGTGAAAAAAAACTAAAGAATAGGGATAATGTAGTCACAGCAAACATACACAACACAAACAATAATCAAAATAAAGTAGATTAAGAAGTTGTTAAAAAAACAAAAATGAGACTTTTTAAAATATTTGAACAAAATAAACATGTGCTCTGTGCAGTTTCTAATTTTCAGCCAGTAGTGTAACCTCAACATGTGTTCTATGCAGTTTCTAATTTTCAGCCAGTAGTGTAACATTGTACGTTTTCATGAATTAAAATGCTTGAAGCCAGCAGGTGACATGGTGGTTAAAGCACTGGACACCCACAGGGCTGACTACGGTTCCAGTCCAGGATGTGGCAGCTTGCTTCCTCACATTCTCTCTGTCTCTCTCTGTCTCTCTCTGGCAAACATTGCATGTCCTGTAGAAAATTAAAAAGTAACAATGATAAACGAAAAAAATTTTCAGTGCTCTAAGTCTGTATTTAGCCTACACGAATCATCATTACATTCTAGTCAGCTCGTCCTCGTTCATTAAACTTTGACCATTTTATCAAAAATATATATGAAATCCAAAATGTATTAGATAATAGACTCAATTGCTGATTTGCATCACCCGATCGGACTTACTGCGTCTTTCTTAACTCAATGAATCGATTCAGTTGTATTTAAATACATGCCAAGAATACAACCGTCGGAAGGGCCGAGTAATAAAGTGCCTTCAGGCCCCTCGTTCTTCCTTACTTCTGCTGCTTTGTTGATTAACCCCACATTTTTGCGTTCTTAAACAAGAAAGGAGGAAAGGTAGAAACTAGGACAGTTTTTGGATTCTAGAACGGTACCAGAACTAAATAGGCTTAACATTTGATCTGCTTTAAGGTAAGGGAGAATAGTTACCAATATTTACCAAGTGTTACCGTGACATTAATTCCCAAAAGGAAAAGCATAGAACTTTAAATTCAGACCTCAGCTAAAAACTTACGTCCTTAAGGACAATGACGTAAGTGATAAATTGAGAATGTGTGATTCATCGAAAGTCATCTTGTGTTGCATAATTCATAATATGACATTTTGTTTTGAGACATGAGTACTTCTTATTGCAGTTTCATACATAAGAATTTTAAATAAGAATAAAACTCATCATGAAAATAATAATTCTGCAACTTTCATGAGATAATGATAATTGCCTCAGGAATCTAAAGATTGTCACCATTTTTTTTTCATTTTCTTAAAAGTTACTTATAAATTAAAAATGTTTTATCAATTTCAAGTAAGTATGTAAAAAGTAAAGAATACATTGCTTTTCTCTCTACTACCTAAAATCATCTAATATATTCCCAATGGTATTAGTTTTCCTATATGTAGTTTTCTTTTTATTTATCTTTTCTTATATTTAGCTCTGTTCCTCTTTACAGCAGACAATATAGATTCTCAAAGCATAAACGCATTGCATGTCAAGCACGTCGAAGATATTACCATACATAACTTTTTGTTCTGTGTCTGGTAATTTTTTTTTTCCTGAGCCCTTCCTTCCTACAACTATAGATATCAAAGACTGCATAGGAGGTGATATCATCTGTTCCTTTTTTTAAAAAAAAATATATATTATTGGGACCAGTAGATAGCATGGTTATGTCACTGGACTCCCATGTTGTTGACTGTGCTTTGAGTCCCAGGCCCAGCAGCTTGAAAATCATGTCGAACGTGTGTGCATGTGTGCCCAAAATCCCAAGGGGAGAATGGAAGAGAAGGAATGGCAATGTGGCCATCTCCCCCGGGGGGTGATTTCTCGCTTTCTGTCTCTCTGTCTCTCCACTGAGCACATGCATCCTATAGCAAAATAAGGATAATAATAGTAAATTTATTATTATTGATTTTGTTACTGGGCATGTGCGCTCACCAGAGAGAGACAGAGAAAGAGGGAAAAAGGGAAAAGGAGAGAAAAAGCTGCTAGTTCTGGGACCTGAACTTGTTGGCCATGTGGGAATCTAGAACTGGTTGACCATGTGGGAATCTAGAACTGGTTGGCTATGTGTGAATCCAGCCCCTTAATCACCAGTGTCTTAACAACCATGCCCAAGGTGTCATCTTTTATTTTCTTTTTTTAAAGAGGTTTTTGCCTTAGGGTGCATGCACTCACTGGAGAGTGAGACAGAGGCAGTGAGAGGGAAAGTGAAAAAATCACCTCCTAGGGGGATGGCCACACCGCAATCCCTTCTCCTTCATTCTCCTCCTGGAGAAATCTTGGGCATGCACACACACGTCCTGCATGAGTTTCAGGACACAGGGTCCGGGACTCAAACTATGATCGGCCATGTGGGCGTCCAGTGATGTAAACACTATACCATCTGTCATCTGTTTTTAAACCTAGAAGCTATCCTTTGTCAGTGAATTAAACAATAGAATTAAATATCAAAGCTTGAGAATTCTAATATCACTCTTGATAGAGCTTCATGGGTAGTGTAGTTCAATTTGTAGCGTGAGTTACATTTTTCCACACTTTGCCTCTTCTTCATTTCATTAATATTAAGATTTATTACAACTTACTATATTGTTTATGTAGAAACAATGTTGATTTCTCAACTTATAAATTAGTTTATTCAATTATCCAAAAAATGTCTGATATAAGCTTCAAGAATGAAAACAATGCTTTAATCTTTATTTTGGTTTTTAAAAATTTATATTTATCTGCCAGAAAAGTAAAAGATCAATCTTAAAACAACTTTAACTTTTTTATGACAATGGATCATAATGAAAGTCTACCACACAGTAATTCATCAATCTAGTCTGAAAAATGATAGCTTGAGATTATATTTAAAATTTTAGTTAGAAAATTTATAAAACAAGGATAACTTATCTAACTCTATTAAGTAACTTCAAGCATAGCAGATGATGTTCCCACAAAATAGTGTCAAATTCTTAGCTGAAATTGCACTTGTCTACTAAAACGTAGGCCTGTTAGCCAACAGAGTCCTGCTAAGAACAGAGACAGGTGTTCAGGGCAAATATTCTCTTTAAAAGCAGACACATGTAGCTACTGGAAGCTTGAATTCAGGTGGCACTAGCAGTAGGACACAGCTGCATGATGCTGGAGCTATATAGGAAGCCTCACAGTTCGGTTACCCAGGCATACCTGAACAAGGTGGGTGCGCTACACACACTCATGATCCTGACTGGCTGAAAGGCTGTGGCTGTCATGACAAGACTCCCTCAGGCCTCTTCCCTCTCTTTCACAAGAATAACTAACTAACTAACTAACTAACTATATATGTTTTCAATTTTTTGTTTTAAAGGTTTTTGACATAGGACACATACACTTGCTAGAGAGAGAGACAGAGACAGAGACAGGGAGAGGGAAGTGAGAAATTATCTCCCCCAGGGGGGATGGCCACACTGCAATCTCATCATATACACACTTTTTAAAGCTTGCATTTAGGCACTATATCTCAGAAATTCAAGCAAAACATTAGAAGAAGAATATGGAGAACTCAGTTTTGTTTTTTGTTTGTTTTTGTTTTTTGAGAGAAAGATTTTTGCTATAGGGTATGTGTACTTGCTAGAGAGACAGAGAAACAGAGACAGAAAGTGAAAAATCAGTCTGGAAAGGGAGCAGGGAAGGACCACGCCACAATCCCTTCTCTTCCATTCTCCTCTTGGGATTTTGAAGATTCATGTACATGTGCCCAGCATGGATTTTAAGTTTCCAGGTCCAAGACTAGAACCATGACCGAGTACTTGGGAGTCCAGCAATGTAACCATTATGCCATCTGCTGGTCCTAGGATTCAACTTTATTTTAGCAAATTAGGACTTGGTTTTTGCTTTCCCCTTTTACTTTCACCTGTATTCTATAAAAATGAATAAGGTAAATTCTATGAAATGGGAAAATATTTGGCATTATAATTACAAAACAATTATAATTACAAAGCTGTTATAATTACAAAACAATTGCAAAAATTTTACAAATTTGGTAGAATTTTTTTTTTTTTGGAGAGGTTTTTTTCACTATAGGGCGCGTGCGCTCGCCAGACAGACAGAGAGAGACATAGAGACAGAAAGTGAGAAATCACCCCCCAGGGGGGATGGTCACGCCGCAATCCCTTCTCCTCCATTCTCCTCTCGGGATCTTGGGCACGTACGCACACGCGCCCGGCGTGAGTTTTAAGCCACCGGGTCCGGGACGTGAACCGCGGTCGACTATGTGGGAGTCCAGCGACATAGCCATTACGCTAACTGCTGGTTCCCAAATTTGGTAGATTTTGATAAATTATAGACACCTAGTAATAAATAAGTCTTCACTGCCTTTCACTCTGTGATGAAATATTTGTGCTTCAAGATATTTTGTCACTTTTTAATCTTTTTTTTTATTATTAAGGTTTTGCCTTAGAGCATGTGTACTTGTCAAAGAAAGAAAGACAAGGAGACACAGAGAGAGGGAAAGTGAGAAATCACTCCTTCAGGAAGGATGGCCATGCTGCAGTCCTTTCTCCTCCATTCTCTTCCTGGGATGTTAGGCCATACACAAACGTGCCCAGCATGATTTTCATACTGCCTAGTCCAGGACTCAAACCATGGTTGACCATACTCATTTGAGATAATTTGACCTTCTACGCTTGTTTTTGGGTACATTGATAATCATAGCTAGGGATACATTATTACATTTTATGACTGTTCATTATAAAAACAGACCAAAAACTTAATCACAATTACATTATCTCTTGAATATGGAATTGGCTCACTTTAGATGATTCCTTGGAACAATTTGTTGATCGCCTTTTACTTCACACTTTGGGTATTGCATTAATTTAGCACTTTTTTCATTGAAAAACTTGTTTATATGTTCTGCTTCTTTAAAATTATACCATTTTATAAAATTACATCACACCAGCTTTTCTATTATCCAACATACCAATAATGTGGCTATTAAACTGAAATCAGTAACTACAGATCATAACCTCTCTTTATAAAGTTCCTTTCTTTATAAGAAAGTCAGCAGAAACATGCCTGTGAAGGAACTTTTTGCAAGTAATCAGCTTACATGGAATGTAATATAACCATTTGTGTGAGAGTTAGTGAGCTAAATTATTGGTAAGAGATTATTTGCTTTAAAATTAAAATATAAAATCAGTCCACAAGAGTCTGAATTATAGTTCAGTATTGGAAAAAGGACTTTCCAAAGCTTACTTGAGTCACAGCTTTGAAGCAACCCAGAACTTTAGGTAAACTTACTTACAAATATGATGTACAAAAAAGTCATGTTTTTAATTTTTTAAAATAGCGATTAATTGTGATCCTCTCACATGGATTTTCCCTATCCTGAGATTAATCTATAAATATTCACTCTGAAAGCAAACATTGGTTTTGTCAGTACGCCTGGATTGTTTTTGCTTGAAATGTTTTGTGATTATCCCATAGACCTTGACAGCAAAGTCACCACTGTGAACCTCAACTGTATGCTGCGGATGGAACTTCAGGGGTTGTTTTTAAAATTTCATTTGGTCCTCTTTTAAAAGACAGAATGGACCTTAGGAGAATCTCATGGTGTGAAGATGAAGTCTCATTTCCAAAGTTCAATTTCAATTTTGAATCTTTTATTTTAGACAAATTTGTAAAGAATTCCAAGACCTCCTGAGCCAAGATAGATCACCTCTGGGATCCTCCAGACCCACTCCAATTCTAGACCTTGACATCCAGAGACACTTAACACATTTCAGGTAAGACTGGTCCTCCAGTGTACTCAAACTCTCTTCTAAACTGTTAAACCATTTTTACTAACCTGAACATTTATGTATTCCTATCATAGTCCCATTTAGAGATACTGATATCACTAATACATTCATATGGTGACTATCCTTGTCTGTCCAGGCTGCTATTAAAAAAAATAAATAAAATAAAAAATAAAAACAAAAAATCCTAACACCTTAGACTAGGTAATTTATGAACAGCAGACATGAATTGACAATGTTACAGCCTGGGGGGTTCAAGATCAAGGCATCTGCAGATTCAGTATCTGGTTGGGGCCTGCTCTCTGCTTCAATGATGATGCCTTCTCAATTCGTCCTTACACAATGGAAGGGGTGAAAAGCTCCCCCATGGCTCTTTTCTAAGGGCACGAATCCCATTCCCAAGGTCTCTGCCCTCATGACCTAATCACACTCTACACCACCCCTACTTTAATACTATTGCATGGAGATTAGGTTTCAACATATGAATTTTGAGAAGATGCAGGCATTCAGACCATAGCAGTGGCTGCCTGAATTCTTTGCAATTCCAAGCATGAAAAATCATATTGAGAGAGTAACACTGCCTAAAGCATTTTAGATCAGAAATTGTAATATCTTTCTGCATTTGTCGGGAAATTGTGACTTTTCGAAAGTGAACACTATTATTTCAAATAATCCCTACCACTTTTAAATCAGGATTCTGAAATCATTTAAATGACTCTTTATCTCGGTGATGTGAATTGTTAAATGGACAGATGATATGACAGAAGTTAAAAGGATATCATTGACTGATTTTCCATGAGTATGTTAATAATTTATACTCAATTAAAAATTGCAAATGGTTCTGAAGTTAGGCCACACAAGAGCCTGAAATGTATTATTGAAACCATTTTTTAAATTTCATTTTCTGAAATGTTTTGAAAGTGAATAGAATATTTTTTCTAGTTAATTTATGCCCTAGATACAATGTGAGAAAGAACACAGTAATCACTCCAGTGACTTTCACTTTTAAAACTCTAGAATTCTAATGCCTACATGATTTTTAACATCAGTATAAAAGTGCTTTATTCTATTTTGGTTATTACTTGGTTTTTTAAAATGTTAAGGAATGACTAGTAATAGATTAAATATTTTAAAGAATGTTTTATCTAGTTTTATTTATTTTTTAGTTTGCTATAGGACACATGTGCTCACAAGAGAGACTGAGAGAGAGAGAGAGAGAAAACCTAAGAAACAAGCCACCAGGTCCAAGACTCAAACCGTGAGAACCGTGATCAGTCATGAGGGTGTCCAGCATCTTAACTACCACACCACCTATACATTAAACTAAACTTTCAATACCTGTCAAAGATTATAAGGTTTTTGAGGAGGGTGCTCCATTATCTAAAATAATGGATACTGCGCTGCCTCCATGGCCTAGTGGTTAAGGCAGCCAGATCTCACACGGCTGATTGTACAAATCCCAGAAGGGTAACTGCACCTGAGTATGTGCATGCCCAAAATCCCAAAAGGAGGAGCGATGGCGAAGAAGGAATCACAGTGTGACTCATTTTCCCATGGAGATACTTTCTCCTTTCCCTCTCACTCCCTGTCTCTCATTCTCTCTCTGGTGAATACATACACTCTCTAGTACATAATCATGGCAGTAAGTATTTAATGTTTAGTCTGAACCATCAGAAATTTTAAAATACAATACTTTAGTTCTCAATGTCACACGTTTCTTCAAAATCTAGTAGACATTTCTCTGGAGATTCTTAGGATTTATCTCCCAAAAAGGCACCAAATGCATGATATATTTTACAGGACTCTTCTCCTGCCACTTAGTTGAGTTATTGAAGGCAAGTGTATTGAAATTAAAAGAGAGTATAATGTCCAGAAGTTCAGAGCAAAAGGCATTGCAGTCAATAGAACCATTTTCAACTTTAGGACCATGTGAGCTGGATTGTTCAAGGGTAACTTATTCACTCTTTTCAAACCTTTATTTCCTGAGATTTAAATGAGATAAAGACCCTTCCATTATACGGTGGCAATGTGCTAAAAGAGATAAAGAATTAAAAGGGAGCATTCAATAAATAATTTATTTGCCTCTACCACTGATCTAAGTTTTAATGGCATCAATGACTCCACCCTTACATCTGTACAAAAATTTTTATATTTTTTGCTTACATATACATGAAAGGAATTTATCTTTTCTTAGAATGTCAACATAATAGTTTTTTATTCAAATTTAATTCTGTATTTTAAAAAGTTTGTTAAATTAAAAATGTACTCTAAGGGGGAGTGTCTATTAAAGAACAGAGAATGGAGACTCTATGTCATGTGTCTTAGGTTATTTCCAGTCAGATGCTGAAGCCTTTATTGGATGACGAGTGGTCCTTTTTTAGGCTCAAAATAAAATAGAGCATCGACGTGCAAATTGAGTATCAGTTAGTGTGTGAAATAAATAGGCAAAACCTTTGTTTGCTCAGCATTGGCACAGTCTGTTAATTTGTTAATACATTAGTCAGTTGCCAACTTAATGGCATAGGATTCTTCAGGGAAGACTTTCATTGTTAAATGTGAGCTGAATGTTTCTTATGTGGGCTTTATATATGTGTATTTACTCCCCATGCAGACTATGGTAACAAGCCGGTGTTCCGCAGAGAACTAAATATGGAGTAAATAACTGTCTCCACCCTCAGTAAAAAAGAAATGGAGAATATATTTGGGATATAAAACACTCAAGATTAAATATGACTTTAGGGACTCTATTAGACTTTGACACATGTAACAATATCTTGAAAATATTCTAGCATTACATAATGTGTTTGCCTACAATAGCATCATATATAAAATTTTGGTATTTGTATGCTGATTATTTGGAATATCAGAAAATTGTGATTAGCATTGATTTTTTTAAGTGTTTGGTCACAATTTTCATGCGTTCTTCTTTAACAACTACCCAGATTATTATTGTTATTATTATTATTTTTTAATTGCCAGAGAGTGCAAACAGTCACTGGAGAAAGACTGGGAGACAAAGAGAGATAGAGACAGAAAAGACACACCCAGTGGGATGTGGTTACACTTTGGTCTCCTCTCTTTTTCTCCATTCTGTTAAGGTTGGGGCACACATGTACATGCATCTGGCATGTTTTTCAAGCCACCACGGCTGGGGTTCAAACCATGGTTAGCCCTGTGGGTTCCAGTTCCCTTAACTACTAGGCCATGAGGCCAGCCCTCCAGATTGTTTATATAGGCAAAATTTTCTGATGTCATAATGGAAAGTAGTAGGATGCTATAAATCACTTAGGCAAAATTCATTTTATAGTAACTTTTCAAAACTATATCTTTTATAAAACTGTGAAAAAATATAACATACAATTTACTGTTTTAATGATCTTTAAGTGTACCTTTCAGTAGTGTTAAGTATATTCACATCATTGTACAATCTCCAAGACTTTAATTTCACAAAACTGAAACTGAAACTCTGTACCCTACTTTCATTTCCCGCCCACCATCCCAAAACCCTAGCAATCACCATTCACCTTCTGTTTCCATGAATTTGAGTACACCAGATATCTCATATGACTGGGATCATGCACTATTTGTCTTTTTTTGAAACTGGCTAATTTCACTTAGTGTAATGTTTTAAATAATGTTGTAACATATGTCAAAATGTCCTCCCTTTCTCTCTCTCTCTCTCTCTCTCTCTCTCTCTCTTTTTTTTATTAGAGATGTGTTTGCTATAGGGTGCTTGCACTTGCCAGAGAGAGACAGAGAGACAGAAAGTGATAAATCACCTCTCAGGGAGATGACCACGCAGCAATCCCTTCTCCATTCTCCTCTCAGGATTTTGGGCATGCAAACACACACGCCCGGCATGAGTTTTGAGCTAACAGGTCCAAGACTTGAACCACTGTCAACTAAGTGGGAGTCCAGCAACATAACCATTATGTCATCTGCTGGACCCTAATGTCCTCCTTTTTTAAGACGGCATAGCATTCCACTGTATGTACATATTCCACGTTTTGTTTGCTCACTCATCTATTATTGCACACTTGGGTTGTTTCCTCCTCTTGACTATTGTGAATAGTGCTGGCGTGAACAGGGACTGTGTAAATATGTTTTTGAGATCAAGATCCTATTTACCATTTTGTAAATGTGTACTCAAAAGTAGAATTGTTGCACTACATACTAATTTTTTGTTCTCTTTTTGAAGACCTGCTGTACTCTTACTGTGCCATCTTAGATTTCCACCATCTTTTTTTTTTTTTGAGAGGTTTTTGCTATAGGGCGCGTGCACTCGCCAGACAGACAGAGAGAGACATAGAGACAGAAAGCAAGAAATCCGCCCCCCAAGGGGGATGGTCACGCCGAATCCCTTCTCCTCCATTCTCCTCTTGAGATCTTGGGCATGCACGCACATGTGCCCGGTGTGAGTTTTAAGCCACCGGGTCTGGGACGTGAACCGCGGTCGACTACGTGGGAGTCCAGCGACATAGCCATTACGCTAACTGCTGG